CAATGGTGGCTTTTAATCGTTGCAATTGCAGAAAATCGCTGACCTCAAGCGGCCTGGTCTCTAATTTCCACAGGTCTGCTCTCTGTAAGGTTCTGAACCCTGGAATGTCGAATGTCGATATCTTCCTGGTCTAATTTCTCCCAAATTTAATCCTGGTTTCGTGAAAATAATCGCAAGCTGGTTAATAACTTAATCGCATGCGAGTAAAAACAACGCTAGCTTATTTTATATCCTGAATAATGAAAAGTTCAAATTCTACCCTACTGAAAAAGGTACCTAAAAAGAAATTATTTTTTTATGAAAACGGTACGCCATTACAATTGTCAGGGGACGAATTTTCCGAGGCGGATATTCGTAGGGGGAATTTACCTGGGGGATAGTTTCCTTGAGGGCGAATGTTCCGAGGAGGAATTTACGGGGCGAATCTTCCTATAATCGTATGATCACCCTCTTCCCTGTTCAGGTGATGTGTCGTTCCCGGTCAGTTTCGCTGACCGCTGAAAGTATCACATGCAGATGAGAAATAAACGTCACTTCTAAATGCTGTTTAGGATGAGGAATGTATGATTTCAAAGATTTACAATCATTAAATAAATTAAATCTTTCGGAAATATTTGAGAATAATTTTACTTGTAAATAAATTGCTGCATTTTCTGTTGCTTTTTGTAATAGGTAATGAAAAAAATCATTAATTTTAGTAAGTAAAAAAGTCAATCTAATTGGTGAGAGAATTTTATTTATTGTTAGAGCCCCATTGACACACACTAACGATTAAAAATTTTCTTTAAAGAAAAAGTTTGGGAACAATAGAATAAGTTTAAGTTTAAACAATACTTATAATCTTTCGCATTATTTTGCAGTGGAATCTTTTCAGAAATGTTGGGTAGGTTTCAAATAATACCCAATTTATATTTTAACTGGTCAAGGTTTCTGAGATCACTTTCATAAATTCAATTAGCAATGTATTTGTTTAAAAAGATGCACGCCCTTATTGAATATAATCATAGGTTTTGTTTACTATTCTGTGTGCATAATTAAAATTATGTTCGTGACAATGATGCCCGTCGATTTCATGTGCAAATTAGCTTGATATTTAAATATTATAATTATTTGCCACGTTAAACAACGTTTCCAGTCTCTATTACCGATTCATTTTACTGATAATTCAATATTTGATTTGTAAGATCGAATTGAATAAACACTTTACTCTTGCTAATTCTAATTATCCTGTATAGATTGCTTCATTTTTATGTGTAATTGTGTTTTGAAATGTTAGGTGCCGCATTATTCTAAATTGGGAGATTGAATACCATTAAATTAGAATTTTATTACTTTTTAATAGTTTATAACGCACAGTCACAGTAGATACATATGTAGGACGTAGTAATAGATGAGTTTCCAAAAACTGTTAAAAAATTAGCTACTAAATGATCAATGGGCGTTCGACAAGGATTATTTGAAATTTTACAAAAGCGAAACTTGAACATGAACAAGATGAATTTCCCAACCAACACTGCATTTTTTCCATTATCACAATAACGGAAAATTCGTCAGGTGATGGTTTTCCACACAAAAAACTGTCAACTATGCTACTTTCTAGTAACCTCCTAATTTGAAATCCCCGAGAGGAACTATTTTAAACAGTTTTTCTTAACTTGAGGGATTTTACCCGGAAAGATTCATATATAAGAAGTGACTTTCACAAAAAAAGGTTTGGATTTCCAATTCCAAAATACTTCAACTACCCTACCATTTAAAATGCCACTTACAATCTCTTCTGAGCCAGATTAAGGTTTACCATTATCTTGTCCTTCCATAGCTTGATGAGTTAATCATCAACCGATGTGTTGACTGCATAATAATTAACTCGCCATAATCGACATCCAGTAATCCATTCTCGTTATATCGATATGGCATAAGCAATTAATAATTTTCTATTCATGTTAGGATAAAGATCACTAACAATCATTAATGAAATCAAAAGCTTTTCGCAATGTCACACCTACACAGGGTTTAATGAAGCAAAAAGTTCTTCGTTCACAAACTTCGATAAATGCATTGCACGAAATGAATTAAACAGGTGATTTCGAGGTATAACTTCAATGGCAAGTCAAGGTAAGTTTGCTGGTTGATTGACAGTGTCATTTAAAATGTAACGTACTTATTATTTTAGATTAATAAAATTCTTGCTTCACTCACTCTCTCTATTTCAATCTATGCCTGTTAACTTGTACTGTGTTAATATTTTTTATGTGCTAATTTAAGGATCGGTTCTTTTCATGTTCGTATAATTTCGCAACCCAATGCTAATCATTCACGGATTTTAAATTCATAAATGCATTTACGTTGGTCTTATTTTATTACATACTGCTCGAGTGGTGTAACTAAGTACCTACCTAATTTATTACTGTTTCATACCGATGTAAGCATCCTTTGAAATATTACAGTCACTTTCTCGCTAATAATAATGCCTAAGTAATTGGCCAGGCCTGTAGTGTTCATTCTTTCATTTTTAATGACGCGATGTTAAAAATAGCAACAACAAATTTTCTATTGTGGTGTTCCTAAATGCAAGAGATTTCCCCCATGGAGTACAAGATACAGTTCACTGTCTCCCTTAAATGTCAAGATTTGTTATTTTTGCTATCTCATACTCAGGACTAATAAGCAATACGAAATGCAAACACTTTCTTACTTAGGCATATACAATTTTCAATCATTTGTTGAGGGTGTTGTGTAACCCCACTGAGTTGCACTGCGAATTTTTTGTGTAGGACTTATGGCGAAATAATGGAAAGAATGAAGTTCGGATTGAAGTTACGTTTTATTTGGTACACATTCATTAGGTAATATCTTCCACACACAGGTTACATGCAGGTTAACCCCACTGAGTTGCACTGCGAATAGGACTTATGGCGAAATAATTTGAAGTTCGGATTGAAGTTACGTTTTATTTGGTACACATTCATTAGGTAATATCTTCCACACACAGGTTACATGCAGGTTACAAGTTTTACGTTTTTACCATTTCGAAGTTTAAGATGGACTGCCTTTAACATAATCACCTTACCTTTAGTTTGAATTAATGGAAAGTAGTTTCAATAAAGTAATTATAGTCATTTGTAAAATGGTATAGTGTGATTACATAGGACAGTCCTCTATCCTACTTTCTAGTATAATTCCAGAAAATGCTGAAAGTCTTATCTTAGCTGAAACAGGTTCGTAACAATATACATCACTAGTTATCAAGGAAATCAAATATTAAGTTAGATATCAAAGCGATTAAATGTGAAGATTTCTAGGGAAATCTAGTGCATTAAAAGCACTTCCCATAGTCAACTATATGCAGGTGCGGTTTATCACACCTTCCCCCTTAAAGAAAAATTTGGTTACAATTTTACAAATTTTTAGTTGGACGCCGTCCTACTATTGCGTTTGTATTACAAGCTGCGGAATTTCTATCGCATAACTCGGGTGATGGTTCTGAGCCATGTCTACTATTTCTAATTGATACAGCATCTAATTCTCGGTCAAAGTACATATTGTGTGTCTGAGGGACGTTTGTGTTTACACGTTGTTTAAAATGTATACATAATCCTGCTCTTGAACATATACCACAACAGTTTTTTGTCTTCTTACAAATACAATAAAAAATTAACAGTAATACAATACTACCTACGATATAAGCCAATATAGAATATTTGTGTACAATAGCTTGATTATGAATATTGTTTCTTAATTTATCATTTATTTTGTCTATTTCATCTAACTTATGGCTAGCTATGTTTAAATCATCTAAATGTCTAGAAATAACCTTATAATGCTTACTTAAGTTAATTTGTGTTATATTTATCTTACTATTACTATTATCTTCACAGCAATCGAAGTCTAAATCTACATTGGGTACGTATTCTAAAAAGATTGTAGAATCCGAAAATATTGAATGAGATATTAACATTGCCGAACTAGAGTATGCCTTGCACCCTTTTCTTAAACTAATTTTACCAACTCCAAAGAGCCGTATGTCAAACGGATTTGTATTTTTACAATTTATAGTTACTGATTCCTCTTTAGGAATTACATATATCCAAGAATTTGAAAGTGTTAGTTGAGTCCAAATGCTATTTTCGAGTTCTGTAATTCTTTTATCACATGAACTAGGAACTTTACTAATACTTCTATATAATTTAATTTCACAAATTTCATGGCGGTACGCCAAATATATAGGTTGTTGTTGTTTACATAAATAGTTATATGAATGGAACTTCTTGCATTTTGTGAATTGGTTTTCTGATATAGTCAAATAATGTTGTTTATTATCACTTACAGCTAAATATTTTGAAATTGGTTGAATGAATATGTATTTATTTTCAATGACGTGAACAGGTAAAGGTGATAATTTAAAGATACTGTACTCTCTACTATCTGTTAATGGTACGTTAATAATATACACTAAATGCGGATTTTGGAAATATACATCTAATCCAATCGTATTAAGAAGTAGGTGAGCGAATTCATTTTGAAGTGGTAACGGAAATTCTAAGCCTTGAGGCAAGTTATGTGAAACCTTTTGTAATTCGGAAACTAATCTGGAAGGAGTTAGTACTGTTGGATGCAACTGACCTTTTTGTGCAACTAAAACTGCATTAATTAGGGATATGGTTTCTAGTTGATATTGATTAAACATTAAATTAAACATAGAAATATGTTCGTCTACAGCTACCTTTAAATCTAAATAATTTATTTGTGAATTTTTATCGTTTAAAGCCTTTTCAATTTTATTCATATTTTCGATTAATATTTTTTCGTTGTGATCCAAGTTTCCTAATGTCGCATTAAAATTTGAAATTGTCGATTTAATTACCACAGTTTGTTCTTTCATTAAGTTTGTTAATGACTCCTCATTTTCACTAAATTGTTTTTCTCCATTTTGATTTTGTTTAACGATTCTTTAGAGGCTCTCAAAAAATAGTCGCAAACTTTTAAATTATTTACATTAACTATTTTGAAATCACTATAGCTTTTGAAAGCTTGACTTTCGCAAATACTGGCTGTCTTTTCATAATATAATTCAAGTTGTGCAAACTTTTTATTATGATTACTTATGTCTAAATAGGTTATTAATACGAATTCATCGTTATAAAGCTTAACGGTTCCTATTTGTTCGTAATGAATACCAGGCGAATGGGTGTACTTGCTGATGTTGTAATCCCCTTCGGCGCCGGTTTTGGTAATCATTGCGAAGAAAACAGAAGAAAGGATTAGCATTCTGAAATAAATGCAATTAATTTAGTTGTAATAATTATGCAAAAAGATTCTATTTATTATTATTTTTATTTTTATTTTTTTTTTTATTTTTTTTTTATTTTTTTTTTTCAATGCTACTTAATACCCTATAGAATCTAAAACTATAGTAGTGACATTAATTAAGTTAATAATCATTGCACATAAGTCAACTGAAGAGGGCTATCTACACTTCACGGGATTCATGTATCAAGTTATTCCCACAGCAATTAATATATTTTGCCTAAATTTATTAACTCATGTAATATCCTTACTTTCACAAAACTAATCGAACTTTACCTATAACTTATTTTGCAATATTTTAGTGTAATCTAATCATAAAAATGCTTTAATCTATTATTGTGAACTCTTACTAACCTTCTACCCATTTTAATGGTACAATTTACTGGAGAATCTACCGAAATGACCTTATATGGACCTAACCACTGTGACCTTAACTTTCTGCTTCTTTCCCTTTTTATGGTTTCATTAATGATTAACACGATATCTCCGACGTGAAAACTTTGAACGTTACTTTTCCTATCGTAATATTCTTTACTTTTTGATTTTGTATCAATTAAATTTCGTCTAGCAAGTTCCCTAGTATATCGCAATGTATTTTTCAAGTCTTGCACGAAATCATCATAGGTATAGCGAAATTCTGGGGGTCCTGTTATAGAACTGGGCAATTCTGCTGGATGTCCATATACTAATTCAAAAGGGGTAAATTTTGTTGAAGTATGTACAGTTGTATTAAAAGTAAACATGGCGAATGGGATATATTCGTCCCAATCTGTTTGGTCTTCCCTAATGTAGTTTCTGAGGTATTCTATCAATGTTTTGTGGCTGCGTTCCAACGCACCATTAGATTCTGGATGAAATGCTGAACACTGAATTTTTTTAATTTTAAATAGTGTACAAACATTTTTAAACAACTCGCTAATAAAGTTTGATCCTTGGTCTGTCAACAATACTTTTGGTATTCCGTGCCTACAAATAATGTCTGTAACAAATTTACTTGCTACCGTTTTCGCTTCCTGATTAGGAATTGGTATAGCCTCGCTAAATTTAGTTAAATCATCTTGAAATGTCAACAAATACCTATTACCGTTTTGTGTTAATGGCAAAGGACCTACTATATCCATTGCACATTTTTCAAATACAGTTTTCGAAGTGTTTGTAATTTCTAATGGCATTTTTGTTTTTAAAGAACTCGTCTTATTTCTTTGACAAAGTACACATTTCTTTACATAATCCTTAATATCTGACTTCATGTGTGGCCATTTGTATTTTTTCTTTACCCTATTGTACATCCTGTTATACCCTGCATGTCCTCCTAAAATTTTATCATGATATTCTTCTAAAATTGTCCTCTTTTGTTCGTCATCGATTTCTGTTAACGTTTCCGCTTTTTTATTACAAACTAAAATATCTATACCACTACTTTTGAAAATATACCGTAACATAATTCTGACCTTTTCCCATTCTAATCTATCTAAACCGCATCCAATTCGTGGAATGGCTAATTTCCTTATATTGTCTTTTTCTAACTGCACTCTAAGATTTACAATTGTATTCCATAAGTCCTCATAAGAAGGTTTATCAAAGTAATTTAATTTCGTAATCAAGTAATAGATTTTCCTATCTCCGACATCTAGGATAGCTACTTCGTGAATTGATTTTTGTTGATTCTTTAGTTCGTCAACTTTACCAAATTTTTGCTTGAACTCTAAAGCTATTCCTTGATTCATGACAAAATCCTGCGAAACGCAGTGTGCTAAAGAATAATTATTTGCAACATTAAATAAATCGTCGTTACATTCTTGCACGTTATTGTTAATAACTAAATTGGTTTTAATAAAATCTGTAAATTTTGAATAAGTGTATTCGTCCGAGTTTAAAACAAATACTGGAATTCTACTTAAAGCATCAGCATTAGTATTAACCCTTCCTGCCTTGTAAATAATCTCATAATCATACTCTGCTAGTTTCAACTTCCAACGCATTAGTCTAGATCCTGGATCTTTGACACTAAACAACCACGTCAAGGGTCGATGATCTGTAACTATTTTGAATTTAGTTCCATAAACGTAAGGTCTAAATTGTTTTACAGCATGTACTATCCCTAATAATTCTTTTTCGGTAACTGAGTAATTTAATTCTGCTTGATTTAATGTTCTAGAAGTGTATGCGATTGGTAAATCCTTTCCAATATCTCCTTGGGATAATATACCACCTATTGCAAACTGACTGGCATCTGTAGTTATGATGAATGGTTTTGAATAATCTGGGTATTGGAGTATCGGGGCGCTAATTAATTTGGTTTTTAATTGATCAAACGAATGTTGGCACAAGTCGGTCCAAACAAACTTTGTGTCCTTCTTTAACAAATTAGTCAATGGTTTGGCAATTTTCGAATAATCTTTAATAAATCTACGATAATAGCCTGTTAATCCTAGAAATGCCTTAATATCTTTTGATATCTTTGGTACGGGATACGTCTTTACCGCTTCTATTTTCTTTTCATCCGGTTTTAACCCTTCACTCGTAATAGTATGACCTAAATAATTAACCTCTTTATGCAAAAATTCACACTTATTGGGCTCTAATTTTAAATCGTACTTGCGTAATCTATCGAAAATTTCTACTAACTTTTCTCCGTGCTGTTTTAAATCATGGGAGTAAATTACAATATCATCTAAATACACAAAACACTTAATTCCCTGTAATCCACTAAGTACAGTATTCATTAACCTTTGGAAACTAGACGGAGCGCCCTTTAAACCGAAAGGCATTCTAGTAAAATGGAAATGGCCAAAAGGTGTTGAAAATGCTGTTTTTTCCTGATCTTCCCTATCTAAGGCTAACTGATGAAACCCACTTTTCATGTCTAAAGTACTAAAGTATTTTGAATTGCCTAATTGATCTAGGATTTCGGTAATATTTGGTAAAGGGAATGCGTCGCCTATTGTTACATCATTTAGTTTTCTAAAATCAACAACCACGCGATACTTAACCTTGCCGCTCGCGTCCATTTTCTTTGGTACGACTAATAGCGGGGAGTTGTAAGGACTCGTGCTAGGTACAATTATACCGTCCTTCAACATCTCTTCGGTTTGTTTACCAATTTCTTCCTTTTGCGTTTGAGGTAACCTATAAGGTTTAGCATAAATTGGACCTACATTTGGCAAAGTAGGAATTTTGTGGGTGGTAATATTTGTAGCAGTTAATTTATCACCTTCTAAAAAGAAAACATCACTATACGTCTTACAAATTTCTAGCAATAAATCCTTCTCTTCTACATTTAGGTGCTGAGTACGTAACGAATCTAATAAGGTTTCAATTCTATTTCCTTGTACTTCGCCCTTTATACTATTTACTTGTACGAACTCTAAATCTTCTAGCTCTATTATTGGAGGTTTTATGTACTGATCCTGCTCTGAAATATTTATTATGCTAACCACACACGAATTGTTTATTGCCTGAGTTAAACAGTTTCCTAAATATATTTCTTCACTAACTTGTTTACCGTTACAAACACCCATTCCATCTGATATTGTCCGAACTCTAGTAATAGTTTCACTTCTTGCAGGAATCAAGATTTCATCCAAATTTATTAATCTATACCTTTTATCTCCAAATTCCAAAACATTGTTCCTGTAATCTAAATTTGCTTGTAGTGCGTGTAAAAAGCTATTTCCTAAAATTCCGTCTCCTTCTACGAAAAAATCATCACTAACTATATGAAATGGAACAACAATTTCTCTGTCGGATAAACAAAATTTTTCATCGACAACTCCTAAGGTTCTGATAGTGGTTTCATTTGTGATACCCTTTATTTCAACAGACCGATTTTTATCAATTACTATATCTTCTCGTACTGCCCTACATTTAACTAAAGTAATATCTGCTCCCGAATCTATCATTAATCGATTAACCCTCTTCTTACAAAAATTTAAGGGAATGTCTACATATTTTAATTTACATCTAGCTAAGTTAATCTCGACCTTGTTCTGAAATTCCTTTAATTCGATTGTTTGTATATTTTCTGTCCGTTTATCACGATACCTGTTGTAATTATGAACTCCACTGCCTACGTTAGTAACCTTGCGCTTTCCAAAATTGCGATTGAGGTCTTTCCTAAAACTCACTTCTCCAACTGACCTCTCGTTGAAGAGTTTTTTTCGTTTCCCGAGTTCCTGTTTATCGAATGAGGATTATCATTTTGTGTTGCTTTTAACCTTTCATTAAATATTCTTTTCCTACAGTCTGCAATTCTGTGATTTGGTTTTTTACAATAAAAACATATGGGCTGGCTTTGCATTGAAAACACTTGAGGTTTTTTCACACTAACAAAATTTTGAACACGTGAATCGTTCGTTTTAACACTATTGTTTTTATAAAAACAATTTGAAGCTGAATGACCTGATTTCTTACAAACAAAACAATTCCCTTGAACTGTACGTTGATTTGAATTTACCTTATAACCAAAATAATTTTGTGAATCGCGATTACTCAAAAGTTCTCTTTCTTCAATTCTAGCTAATTCAACAGCTGATTCTAAAGTTTTGGGGTCCCTACTTTTTACGTGCATTTTCAAAGGTTCTTGCAATCCTGTGACAAACACATTTAAGGCTCTCAATAATTCACTGATAGTTACCGCTTCCTCTTGGGTTTTATTTACCGTCGCCACATCTAACAAATTGCTTAAACATTTTTCAATTTTGTTTGAATATGTATCTAAATTTTCACCTTTTGACTGTTTAGTTGAATTTAACTCTAACTGCCAATGCGAAAGAGTTCTCTTTTCGGCAAAAAGTTCTTCTAAATGTTCCTTAAAAAAATCCCAATTTTGAAAATTTCTGTATTTTATAAAATTCCTAGCTTTACCTGAGACTTTTGTTTTAATAATTTGAAATAGCATATGGGAATCGACTTGCCTAACTGAGTTTAAAATAATCTCACAATTATCTATCCATTCCGTAA